ATTTGGTTTATTGTTTCCTTAATTTCAAGGATTTCTGATTTTTTTTTAGAGTACATCTTTCTTGAAGTAATCTTTTGCTACCTCTATTTGCTCCCTTATCTCTTTGTTGGTGTGATCAATGGTTGCCTATATTTGCTTGCCTATCTCTTTGTTGGAGTGATCAATTTTTGCCTGTATTTGCTCATTTAATTCTTTAATTCACAGATCATTTTAATTATGAACCTTCTGAACCCTTTCTCTGACATTTTATCAACTTCACTGTCTGTAGGTTCTGTCACTGTAGTATCCAGGTTTGTTTGGGGCAGTTTCCTCCCTTGTTTTTTCATGTTGTTTATGTGTCTTCCTTTCTTGCAGTGTGGATCTGAGATATTACAGTCTCTACCCTATAATCTTGTGGTATCTGTGCAGATTATTTGTACCTCACCTTGATGTTGGACTTCCAGACCCTGCAGGGGTCCCTCGATGTATGCTACTTCAACTAAAGTTGGTGGCAGCCATAAGTGGAGGTATCTCAAGATAGCAGTGGAGGTGTCCTAAGATGGATGCAATGTCTTTCAGAGACGGTGCTGAAAGGATGGCCTTATACTGTCTTTGGAATGCCTGCTCCAAGATGCAGCTGCTTCTAGACCCTGTTGTCCAAAGCTAGAGGCTACTGCGTGGGGAAGTCTATGGCAATGTCTGCAGTGTCCCAAAATGGAAGTGGGTTAGGTCTGAGCTTCCAGGTTTGGGGGTGTGTGGGGCAGAGTCAGACCTGCCCTGGGCCTGGGTCCTGTGCAGGTGGGTGGAGGCAGCCCTGTGCTGGACCTTGAGCTCCAGCAGGAGTCTGCCCGTGGCAGGATGGACTCGGGCCTACCCTGGGCCTAGGTCCTGCGCAGGTCTGTTATTTGTGTTCTTGATGACTGCCATTCTGACTGGAGTGAGATAAAAATTTCAGTAGAGTTTTGCTTTGTATTTCCCAAATTGCTAATGGTGTTGAACATTTTTTCATATACTTGTTGGTCATTTGCATTTCTTCTTTTGAGAAGGGTCTGTTTAATTAATTTTCCTATTTATTAATTGGGTTATTTGATTTTTTTGAGTTTTTTATATATTTTAGATATTAATCCTGTCAGAAGAGTAGCTAGCAAAGATTTTCTCTGATTATTTTCTCTTCACATCCCTAATTGTTTCCTTTGCTGTGCAGAAGATTTTTAATTTGATGCCATCCCATTTAACAACTCTTTGTATTATTTCCTGAGATTTAGGGGTCCTGTCTATCCATGTTTATAGCATCCCAGTTCACAATAACCAATCTATGGAACCAGTCTAAGTGTCCATCAATGGATGAATGGATTAAAAAAATGTGGTATGTATAAAAAATTAAGTTTTATTCAGTCATAAAGAAAAACAAAGAAATTATGTCATTTTCAGGAAAACGGATGGAACTAGAACCATTATTTTAATCAATTTAAACCACACTCAGAAGGTCAAGGCCATATGTTTTCTCTCATATGTGCAAGCTAAAGAAGAAAAAGTAAAATAAAGGTGGCGGGGGCAGGAAATCTCATGAAAATCAAAGGAAGATCAGTAGAAGAAAGGAATCTGGGATTGGGAAGTGCTGTGGAGTGATATTGGCCAAATTATATTGTCATATGTGTGCACGTACAAATACGTAACAACATTTCCATCATTATGTACAACGATGATGCACCAAGAAAAAATGTGGAAAAATTTTCAGAAAGTTACAAAAAGCGAAACTTGAATTTGCCACATTCCAAGCACTAGGTTGAATCCTACAAGTGAGGTGACATGTAGATGCACCTTACGTGGCCTCCCACTTTCACCACCCTGCGGTCTCTCTTCTGCATTGTTGGGGCATCTTCACCTTGAGTCACTATTATGTGCTCACACATGGGTTGACAATGGTGGCATCTGGACTGAACATGTTCAGACTCTTTTTTTTTCTAATCATTATCCCCTAAACACTAGAATATAACAATAATTCACATAGAACTTATGTGATCTGACATATTATAAGTATTCTAGAAAAGACTTGAAGTACACAGAAGATGTATGTATATTATATGCAAATATAGCATCATTTTATGAAAGGGATTTGAGCATCTGAAGATTTAGGTAGCCACAGAGGAGTCCTGCAACCAATCCCCCATGATATCAAGGGACAACTGTACATGTATCAAAACATCACACGGTGCCCCATAAAAGTGTACAATGATTATGTGTCAATTAAGAACAAAATTAAAAAGTGTTTTTTTGTGGGTTGGGATGTGACTCAGTGGTAGAGTGCTAGCCTAACATGTTTAAGACACTGGGTTTGATTCTCAGCACCACATACAAATAAATAAAATAAAAAATTTCATCAACAATAAAAATTTTTTTTTTAAAAAAAGTATTTATGGAAAGAAAAATAGAATTTAGAGTCTCTGTGTCTTTTATTTTAACCTAGCCTCTGATTCATTGCCCTGAATGTCCCACAATAGTAAATAAAGCCCAGGTTCATCTATTACGAGTAGATTGGGGGGGGGGACACGACACATCCATCCAGATTGTTTCAGTAAGAGCAGAGCCATTCTGGCTGTGAAGCATTTTGTGTCCTGATAGTTGAAAGCTGCAGAGCAATCAAAAGAGCGAATGTGGGAAACCTCTCACCATCTGCAGAAGGAGGATCCGTCTTCCGAGATCTCACTGTGACACTGGAAGGCCTGGAGAGGTCGGTACCTGTTCTCCACACCTGCACCTCTACGTGGCCGGAGCTCTCGTCCACAGAGTACTGCACATTCCCAAAGTAGAAGCTGGGTTCTGTTAGGAATGGAACACAAACCACTTCTGTTATTTTTACTTTTTCACATCAAATGCTACTGATGTGATTTCAAAGAAGAGTTACCTTCATCTTGTATCATCATAAGTTTTCCTTTTAGTAAGCTAAAATCTCTTCATTCTGTGCATCCATACAGTTGTTAGGTAAAAGTGCCATGGCTCACGAACAAAAACACTTAACGGTAAAGTGCTTTATCGAACTTTCTAACCTTGAGGCATAAGAATGAGTTTGTCGTTCCTATCTGGGATTATGAATGGCTTCTAAATGTACTTCTTGAAAGCTTAGATGGAAAAAAGAGCGAAATGAAATGTAACACATAAGACTGATTGTTTTTAAAGTCTGGCCCCAGCATTCATCATCTCCTACCAAATTTCCACTCTGATCCGGAGACATTATACTTGCATTCTGTCTTTTATCTATTAGATTTTGGGCTTAATCCAATGTATTTGGGTCCATTATAATCAATAGTGTGAGAAAGTACTGGTGCAAAGAGACTGAATATGCGTGATCACTAGCCACAAGGACTTTAAGGAGAACTGATTGCTGGTTACCTGTGTATTTTTTTTTTTTTTTGATCTTCTCTATCAACTGAAGCTTTCCTGAAGTGTCATGGTTTATATATGAGGTGTCCCCTAAAAGCTCATGTGTGAGACAATGCAAAAGCTTTTAGGGTGCAATGATTGGGTGATGGGAGTCTTAACCGATTTAGTGCATTAATTATCTGATGGGGATTAACTGGGTGGTAACTGTAGGCAGGTGGGTGTAACTGGAGGAGGTGGGTCATTGGGAACATGCTTTTGGGGTATATATTTTGTCCTTGGTGAGTGGACTCTCTCTCTCTGCCTTCTGGTTCCAAGTTCTCAGGTGCTTTCCTTCATCATGAACTTCCTCTGCAATGTTCTTTCTTGCCTCACTTCAGACCCAGATGGATAGGGTCAGTCATCTGTGGACCAAGACCTCTGAAATCATTAGCCCCTCAATACACCTTTCCTTCTCTAAAATTATTCTTGTCAGGTCTTTTGGTCACAGCAGTGAAAAAGCTGACTAAAACAGTGAGTAAACCATCTAATTCCAAGACTTCAGTGTTTGTCCTTATATATGAAGATGATGTGACTCGGGTTACTAAACTAGGGCATATGCTTTGGGACTTTGTCTTTTTCTCCAGGATTGGTGATGAGTCTGAATTTATCTAATCTGATAATTATTTTCCCTCCGATTCTACCTGTGACCAATAGTTTACTTTGTGATAGAGCTGTTAGGAGTCTGAAATAAAGCAGTCAGGTGACTAATGAAAAAAACTGAGAGATAATTTGTGAGTTTTTTTAAGAACGTATTTTGAAATACAGAGAGGCACATAGGAATTTGGAAAAAAAGTGGAGTCTATACTTTTCCTATTTGTGAGCTCACTTTATAAGTCACTAAGAAAATTAATTGTATACACATAAAATGAACAGCCCTTTGAAGTGAACATTTTAGTCATTTGTCTCTATTTTATGAGATTTAAAAGGACTGTATCTAAAAGGATGGGCAATTCACATCACTGTTCCTTGGAACACAAAGTCATTAACAAGATATTGTCATGTACCAGAGAATCTGATCCAATTCCCAAATTCCCCCCAAATGGAGCAAAACTTGGCAACAGTGGCTCCAAAAGCCACTGCAGAAGCCAAAAAAAAAAAAAAATCTCTGTGCACTATTCAAGTTGAATATGAATTCTTTATTTTCTTGCCCTAAATAATTTACTTTTATTAAAATTAGAAAAGTCTGTTCATTTTTTTTTCACATGATTAAAAGCACAGTCGCCCTGAATTCTTGAATAATGCCAAACCAATGTTGGACATTTTGTTTGCACATTTTGGTTCAGGAGGTGATAAATCTGCCTACAGCATAGTCCAGCTCCCTACTATCCCTCCAAGGTGGCTGCTGTTAGGGAAAGTGAGTGCACGGTATAGATGAAGGTGTTATCTTATCCACCTTAGTCAAAGCAGACTTGGAATGCAAGCCAATACATTCCTTACATTTATCACACTAAGGAGGGGGCAAAGGTGAAGACAGAAAGCCCTGACAAGGCTTACTCTGGCCAGATGGCAAACCAGGCACATCTGCATGTCTTTTCAAAGGCTTTTTATAATTAACATGGAGGCTCAATCACCTCCAACCAAAAAGTGAGCTCTCTAAATCTCTTTACATTCCTGGGAAACCATAGCATTGCACAGATTAAGTTTCTGAGTTATGGGATAGAGCTGTGGAAGGCAGTCAGGAAGGACTAATCACCTATTTAATAATGTTACCTCCCACCTGCCTGCTCCTCACAGATATGTACTAGGATAGAATGGAATAAAATCATGGAAGTACAACCATAAAACACCAAAGCAGGGCTGGGGATGTGGCTCAAGCGGTAGCGCGCTCGCCTGGCATGCGTGCAGCCCGGGTTCGATCCTCAGCACCACATACAAACAAAGATGTTGTGTCCACCGAGAACTGAGAAATAAATATTAAAGAAATTTCTCTCTCTCTCTCTCTCTCTCTCTCTCCCACTCTCTCTAAAAAAAAAAAAAAAAAAAAAAACACCAAAGGAGCTACTTACCAGAGGAAAAATTTGTGTTTTTTTTTTTTTTTGCATTTGTGTGTTCAGATTTGTTTTGTCAACTTTAGAACAAGTTTTTATTTTATAGCTTAATGCATAATTAAGAACAACTTTAGAACAATTTTTATTTTATAGATTAATGTATAATCCATACATGGTGGTGGTGGTGGGAGGTCCTATGTCATACTCTGAGAATTTTATTCAACTGGTCATTCAGAGTAAGGAGTAATGATAATAGTTAACGTAAGTAGACACATGTACTTTATATACATGTGTGTGTGTGGGAGGGGAGCAGCATATAGCAATGCCATAAATAAATTCCATAAATGATGCAAACAATATTTTCATATTGCCTATTGTGTGGTGTATTGTTAGCTCCAGCAGAAAAAAGGAGGGGTAATCTAAACAGGGTTTTAATCCTAAATCCCTCAGTTCTAAAACAACAGTTAATAGAACGAGTTAGGAAAGTTAATTATTTACTTCCTTAAAAGGAAGTTTTGGATTATCAGTCAACTTAAGTTATTTAGAAGATTTCTTTCTGTCTCTGCTCCACTGAGGATGACTGGAAAATTGGTTAAACACAAATTGCAATCATTGCATTCAAGTTTAAGGTGATTAATTATTATGAGATAATACAATTAAATAGTTCCTATAAGACAATAACAAACAAAAAACACCCATACCCTAACTACTTAGTTTCTTGGGTGGGGTAAAATAAAATGACTGGCTATTAGAACCTTTATATCTAGATGAATTAGAACTCATGCAGATTATTTGTATTTTAATTTCTCAATATCTTTTCAAAATCTCTAACATTTGAATAGTGTTTATAATTGTTAATTCTGGGACAAAACCTTATGCATAAAAATGAGCTACCGGGGATTGAACTCAGGGGCACTCAGTCACTGAGCCAAATCTCTCAGCACTATTTTGTATTTTATTTAGAGACAGGGTCTCACTGAGTTGCTTAGCATGTTGCTTTTGCTGAGTATGGCTTTGAACTGGCGATCCTCCAGTCTCACCCTCCTGAGCTGCTGGGATTACAGGCATGCACCACCATGCCCAATGAGGTACAGATTTTTTTTAAACTATATATTTTTTAATCATCAATGGATCTTTTTCTTTTATTTATTTATACGTGGTGCTGAGGATCAAACCCAGAACCTCTCACATGCCAGGCAAGCTCTCCACCACTGAGTCACAACTTCAGCCCTGAGCTACAGATCTTTTAAGCAGTGAGTTGAGTTATAGACATCACTCAGGAAAAACAGCAAGATGTTCCTGGAATATTTTAATGGCTGCCAAGCAAGTTTGAAAGGAAGAAAAGGATAAATGGGTGAAGACTGTCCATGATTGAAGGATACCTATGAAAAATCCAGAATAATTGCTTGTGTTAGCAAATAATTATTATTTATGAGTAAGATTTTTAACTCATATTTTCCTTTGGTATGTATGTATTTATTTATTTATTTTTGCCAAGGAAATTAGCTTCTTTTAGGCATTAACTGAAGATTTTTGTGGATCAATCATGGGAATACTCATATGACAACTTAAGAGTAAGTTAGCAAAAGCATGTTCACATGTTTAATTCTCTAATTCTGCTCTTAAATATACACTATGCCTTGTATTACATTGAAGTTCACAGACTTACTGGGAAAAACAGTCAGTAGCTGATATTATAACCAGGAATGAGCAGATAATCAGGTAAAGCCACACATCCTGCAGCCCACACCTACATGATACCATACAACAGCCATTTCTCAGCACTCCCTCATCCTCAGGTGAGACTCCATAATGCAAGTTTATTTCTTCTGCAGAGGAAAGATAAGTCATGTTCAAACTGCATGTGATCAGTACAGAGGAGGTTTGCAATTGGCCTAGTGAAAGTGTGAGATTCCTAAAGGGAGAAAAAAAAAATCTACTCTCCAATCTTTGTGGCATTGCACTTCCAAGTCCAGGATGCAATTAGCTCAATAAGCATTACTAAGACTTTCAAAGTTGGAGATACTTTTACTCCACATGGCACAGAAACAATCACATTTTTTTCCTGCAAAGGCAGAAAAGAAGGCTTGGCAAGCCACACAGTGTACACACCTGCAACAAAGGGAAATAGTTTCAGTTTTTTTCCCATAGGGTAAAAGTGAACTTTTTTTTTTAAGGTGTCTAGATTGATGTTTACAATTACACTGTGTCTCATGAGATGAAAGCAAGAGGTGCTTGGAGTAATTGCTATCTGGAGCCAAGTCTTATTTACTCACGTGTACATGAACCATCAGTCAAATAACCTTTGTGGATCTGACTAACATGTTTGTTTAGAACTGAACCGAATAGAAGCTTTCATGCTTTCTTTTGGTTCAGGCTGAAAATAATACAAAGAAGCCTCCTAAAACTGTC